TAATTCATTAGAAAGTCAGGGAGTACAGGGGAATGGCAGTTAATTAGATCTTTTTCATGGCCTTAGATTGCAATGTTCTCCCACTCTAGGTGGGAATCCAGGGTTTATTTTGATGAGATTCCACTTCCCAAAAGGTAAAATCAAGGGCCAGGTTACCATACACTTTCTAAGAATAAAATGTTATATACTAATTACAGGAGATACCTACTTTATTCACTTTTTATACTTTTTGAGTGTACCAGAAGGCAAGATCACCTGATATGACACTAAAAGAATAAGAAGACAATTCATTTAATGAAATAAAAACACAAACTTTAGCATGCAGCCTTATCTGTCATAGGAATGCTACATCAAGTTAAAGTGTCTCTGCTTCCATAGCATCAAGAGAGCTAGGATGGCTTGTCCACTGTTTTCAAACTATTCCGAGCAGCTCTTTGGAGGAAATTCTTAGGGATTTCTTTGGAGAATAAGGGAAAATCCAAGAGGGGAGGTCTCCTAGGCTCCACACATCCACATCAACCAGATCTTTCTTTCATCATTCTTACAGATGTGGGCTTTATTGTGAGATTTTCTACTTTTAAAAAATGGTTTATGCTAAATTTACAAAGTATAACGATTTGTCTGTGGGCCTGCTAGGATACAGAGCAGTGGTACTCTAAGTGCAGTCTAGGGTTACCTGAAAGTTCCTGACATCCTTTAAATGGATCTGTGAGGCTGTTTTATTAACAATGGCCAAAACCTGGAAACAGCCCAAAGGCCCATCAGCAGTAAATGGATAAATGAATTGTGGTATACCCATACAATGGAATACTACTCAGTAATGAAGAAGAAGTGAATTACTGATGCACACACAGATGAATCTCCAAATAACTACGATGAGAGAAAATATATATAGTGTATATGGCATGATTCCATTTTTACATAATCTAGAAAATGCAAACTAATCTGTAGTGATAAAGCTTATCAGTGATTGAGGATAGAGGAGTAGCCAGAGAGATTATAAAAGACCACAAGGACACTTTTGGGGGTGCAAATATGCTCATTATCTTGATTGAAGTGGTTTATGGCTCTATATGTAAAGTTTTAATAAGTTGTACTTAATTTTTTTAAAAAGTCAATTTAAATTACAATTATGTGTCAATTATAAATTTAAAAATTAATTCTAAGACTCACTGATTTTTTTCACTCTTATTCTGAGTCTACAGTGCTGTTTTCCAAAGGTTAAATGACACATGATGCCTGCACTTTTTACAGCTAATAGAATGTGTGCTCACGTATCGTTTTAAATTTTGCTGTTATATTTTCCAATATAGTAAATATCTATCTAAAACCAGTGGCGTGCTAGAGCAGGATTGCACCAGCTCATAAGAGCTGATTGTGCACATCTACTCCCAACTCTGTTTAGAGGGATCATGTTGATAGCTTGAACTCAGCCATGGTAAACTATTTATACCACAGAAATCAGCAAAATCGGGGCTTTTTTTTTCCCAGACAGCTAGTTGTTAAACAATTATCAGCCCATCATTACCTATAACAAATATAAACAAAAACTCATTGAAGTCCTTAATTTTATTTTTCTTAAGAGATAGGGTCTCACTATGTTGCTCAGGCTAGACTCCAATTCCTGGGCTTAAGCAATCCTCCCACCTCAGCCTCCCAAGTAGCTGGGACTATAGGTGTGTACCACCACACCCAGCTCAGTCCTTAATTTTTAATTGTGCAAAAGGATTCTGAGACCAAAAAGTCTAATAACCACTAGGCTTAGTGGTTCTTTATCTATGGAGCTAGAAAGTGTTTTTAGGGAAAAAAGCAAAAAGAAAAAGTGAGACTTTCAGACACTTAACACTATCAAAAAAATCTTTTGCAGAGATTGATAAATTGCCTTCACCAAGGGCCACCACTGCCATTCTCCCATAAGGCTCACTGTTGACCCAGTCTTTGCCCCAAGACCAGGAGGGTCTGGGGTTGAATGATTAGCCCCTTCCAGAATTTGAGGAGCCCAAAAACTGCTAGGAAGGAAGGGGCTCCCACCTCCTCCGACAAACACCAAAGATCTACCACCTTGCTTCCTATAGCTACTGATGGACCAAAAATGGAACTTTAAGGTACTGCCTGGAAAAGAACAGCACCAGACCAAGTTCTCTAGATAATGCATTCCAACTCCAACAAGTGGGATAACAGGTCCAATGATGCAAATATATTTGTATTAGGTGAATCAACCACCAGGAAACCAAGATCTGACACTTTTACCAACTGCTTTGAGGCAACTTAAGAATAGAAGAAGCTTCAGAGCCAGCCTCGTCTTCTGGCTCATAGGCTCTAGCCTACATCCTTTTTAACTACTTAATGTGGTATGGAGAATGTCAGTGTGCTGAGGCTCCGTCATCTCAATAGAGAGCTCCCTGGGAAGGAAAAGGCTGAAATTAAAAAAAAAAAAAAAAAAGGATCTCCATTAAGGAATTCAACAGGGAGTCGATCATGTTGCAGAATCATATCTTCCTGTTTCACAACACGTTGGAAACATAAACTTTAGGACTTTTTCATCTCTACTGCATAAAGGTCTGATCGTTTCTGTCTAAAAATGGGGATTTGCTGGCGTATTTCAGCCAACTTCTTCAGGTCTGCAAAAACAGGAAAGTGCACTGTTAATAATTTGCAATTCCTCACTAACCAAGGAGATTTTTTTCCCTCAGACTGTAAAAACCACCAGAGTCTCAGCAAGTAACTTAGTAACAAACAGGCTTGTCCAGATGCACAGACGGCCTGGCACTGGCACCATTTCAAATCAAACCAAGAAAACTCAAACTGAGCTATAACCCCCAGGGCTTGGCCAGAGAAGCAGACCCTAGAATATCCTCAAGGATAAATGAGGAGGGGGAATAAAGGAGCCCTTCCAAGTGACAGAGACTACACAGCTAAGGAATCTGGCCTCAGAGCAATGGGAACACCAGAGACCTAGAAACTGTGCCTGGGCAAGTCTTACCTATATCTGAATACACGATCGTTTCCTCTGTGCCAGCTTTGGCTAGGACCTCCCCCCTGAAAAAGAGGCAGTGGAAAATCAATGGATTCCCTGATTTGGGTGATATTCAAGATCTCTACGTTTTTCCTACCTATCTCGCAGGCCAAAGGGGAAAGAAACTGAGATTTAAAACAAGAAGAGAGGGGTATAAATTCCTGTTCTATTATTTAAGTAACTCCATGACCTTGTGAAAGGTCATTTTGAATCTCCATTTCCTAATCTATAAAGTAGAAACATAAGCTCTATGAGGGCTTAGTGAGAAAACTATTATTGAGTATGTTTTATAAACTGCAAACTGCTAGGAGATGGTAGTTATTCGATTATTGTAAAGGTCTGGGAATAGAGCTATCTACAATCAACAGGAAGCTCCACCCCATGCCCTTGACAGTGTATTTTAGTGAGACCCTTTACAAGGGCAGTGGAGATCTGCCCTTCACACCTGCCGGGCTGCTACCCTACCACGTCTTCAGTTTCAGATTTGAGGGGAAGATTTCAACCTGTGGGGTCTGGGCAGAAGTGGCAGGGGAACCACACACCGCAGGAGCCTCCACTCGGGAGCAGCAACACTGTTTCACAAACCCAGGGGACGGGTGACCTGGAGAACTACCTCCAGTGCTTAGTCTCTTGGCCCAGAGCAGGGTTGGTTCAAACACATATATACAGAAATGAAAGTTCTCCAAAGTAAACTGACATAATAACTGGTTCCATTTACCAGATAGCCGCAAATAGATTTTTGGCACAAACGCCACCATTAATGCCATGTAACTGAATTCTTTTCTGTTCTTCTCTAATTCTTCCCTGTTTGCCCTGGCATTCAAAGATCTCTTTGTTAACCTCAGACACCCACCCCAATGTCAGTATAAGCAGAGGGCCCCCAACCCTGCAGAAGGAAAAAATAAAGATAAGTCATATACAAGTACTGCGTGTCAGAAGCAGCCAACATGATCAGGAGATCCATAGGATCGCCGTGAAGCAGAGCTGCCCGGAAGGCAGAGGCCAGGACTAGCACCAACAACTGGACAGTAGAACTTGAAGCAAGTTCAAGAAAACTTTCAAGCCGACTTAATCCCTACAGTCCTCCAATGCCCACTAACTGTAACAGTCAGGAGGACACTAAGAATCTCTCACTAGTCACATCTTCCAAGGCCTCCCCACCACACACATTGATCTCTGTGTCCTATAAAGTCAGAGAGAACCTTTAGGGACTCCACAGTGACAGTTAACTCTTCTCAGTCTCGTCACTGGTATACTTATCCTGAACTGTAGAATTACATACAGCGTGTGCGTGTATTTATACAGAGAAGTAGTGTGGAATAAGTCCAAGCTGTAAAGGCAAAAGTCCTCCAGGCCAAACACCAGTTCCAGCCACTTTCTCTGTGAACTGCAATTCTACCACCTATAAACTGAGCTTAATAAGGACAAGTCCCCGAGAGTTCAAGCTGAGATCCTATGTGTGAAAGTACGATGTAAACTGTACAGACTGTAAGGTGCACAAGTTAGCATATGACGGCACGTGCATCTGGGCAGATTTATGTGCTGGTTTCACTGAGTAATAAAATGCTTTACCCTTTCACAGGGGATAGGGTTCCAGTTTCCCTTATGGAAATCCTCCCTGCTCCTCTGCTTATTATGCTGGGAGCAAAGTTCTCACCCTGTAACTCACTCCTGCTCTAGGACCAGCCAGCCAGCCTAAATTTTAATGAAAAGCCAAGAGTTTGGGAGACTCTTACTAAAACCACCTGCCTGTCACGGTTTCATTGTTTTCTCATGTGATCCAGGTCTGACTGAGAATGAAGGTCACCTAGAAACTCAGAAGAGGGCTAAGGCCAAAGACTCAATTAAGAGCAGGACGATTTCTTTCTCATATAGTTTTCAAGCTTCTCTGACAGAGATAGGTAGAAACCTGGCAAGACGTGAGGGGAACTGGGAGTGAGGTGGGCGCTTGGCTGCTCAGGAACCAGACCACCCACCAGCCCATGTGGCATCTCTCAAGCTCCTACTGAGCCTGTCCTCACTCACCAAGGGTTCACAACGGTACTGTATCCCCAGGCAACATAGGAGGCTTTGTCATCCCGGGCAGGAGAGGCTGTGGCCACATACACCTGATTATCAACAGCCCTGTAGTCAATGGAGAGAAAGAGGTAGATCATATACTACAGATCTGCAACATTTTTCTATCCCAAGGGGATAGAACCTTCTTTTAAAAAATAAGACAGTACAGGCTGACTCAGACGTAGAAGGAAGCCAAAGCATAGAATCTTCTCTTCAAAAAGTATCTTATTGTGGCTAGTCCAAAGGTAGTGAGTTATATCAGTTTATTGTTCACAGTTACAGACTGAACTCCTTGTTCTACCACTTTCTCCCCTCCTCACTACTATTTGACTAGTCTTAAAAAAAAAAATAGAAGAATAAAAATAAAATTAAAAAAAAAGTATTTTATTGCATAAGCCGGTGGTTCTCAACTAGGGGTGATTTTGCCCACCAGATTTGCCAATGTCTGGAGACCTTTTTGATAGTCACGACTAAGGGGTTGCTGCTGGCATCTAGTAGGTAGAGGCCAGGGATGCCGCTAAACATTCTACGACGCACAGGATGGCCCCCAACAGCAAAGAAGTATCTGGTCCAAAATGTCAACAATGCCACCGTTAAGAAACCCTGGCATATGACAAGCTGTACTGTAGGAGAAAAGCGCTTCTCTGGTTACAGCAAGTTAAGGTGGCAGAGAGAACAGAGTGCCTTGTCAGAGCAATGCACCTTGCAGGACTGCATGGTGCTGTGGCTTCTGAGAAGGTGCCCAGCAGCAGAAGCCCTCCTTGTGGATTCATCCTTTTCAGCTGCATTTGGATACCAGGGCAGAATTCCATATCAGGATGGAAGGCTGGTGCTTCCATTAAACTGGAAATCTTTCCACAAACAAAAAAACACTGAGATGCTTGCATATATGGTTCCTTTCTTACCGGCCTCTCTGAAGCAACTCCCAGTGGGCTGGTCCAGTGGTCAAATTGAAAGCTCCAGGATACACCAACAGCTGGCAGCCTTGGGGAAAGAAAAGCCAAAGAGCAGTGGGTACAGGTCAAAACCTGTTGACACTAGCCCCTTCCATTGTTCCTTACCCAGCAGGGACCAAACTCAAACTTTCCCAAGCACAAAAAGATGATAGCCAAGTCAGGCAGTGAGAGCAGCATTAAGATGTGGCTCTGAATTTAGACACACAAGAGAAGTGGTATTGATAATCAAAATCACAACATGTGACTTCACTTGAAAAGAGTAGAGAACTGTCATTCAAATTTCTCTCTGCACCATATGTCAGCTCTGCATGGCCAAGGACCATGTTTTGTCATTATTTTCAACTGAAATTAGGGGCAGAGTAGTTGCCTTAATGTTTATTGATAAGGCTCTACAGAGACTGTTGACCCCAGAGCCCACGAACCTGCAGCTTGTGCTAGGCAGGCAATCAAACCATTTTTACCCACTTCGCTGTAAGTGACAGCTGAATTGGAAGTAGTTTCAAGCAGTCTGGTAAGGATGCTAATATTTGTTGAGTATCACATGAGGGGCTTTATCTTTAATCCTCAAATCATTCCTATGATTAAATTGAGAACCATGCTGCTCTAGAGGGTAAATGATTTAATGAAAGTACTGCACCAATTAAGGGGCAGAGTTGGAAACAGAAATCATATCCTTTGCTTTGGTTTATTAAAAGAATTTTTTCTGTAAAATTTGGATTCAGTTAAAAGGCCACATGTGGCCCCAAGGCCGTGGGTTCCCCACCCCTGGCTAGGAGTACTGAGTGGTGAAATGCATGAGAGTGTAGACCATGTCTTCATTTCTACTGGGCTCCCAGTGATTCTTTTCAACACAGTAACAGGAAGGATTCGAAGGGTAGAGCAGGTATTTAGGAGCATAGCTCCTACCTTAGCTACAACCAAAGAACCCTACCATCCGTATACAGCAAAAGTGTGAAAAGCCACATGGGGGTGGAAGGGTAGAGATGGAGAGATTAAGACACCTCTCTGGCTTCTTTGACTAAGGGCTGCCCCCAGCCCACAGAGACCAGCCCAGAACCAAACCTCTAAGCACCCACATAACACAACTATTGTGCTGCCTCACCTCTCTGTGCATAGATGTGTGCAAGCTCTGCAAATCGCATGTCGTAGCAGATGCCCAGACCCACTCTGCAGTAAGCTGTTTCCAAACAGAAAATACACAAATGCAAAGTTAACTTCCTAAAGCATGGGGTGGCAAGGAAAAGCATCCATGACATAATGATCATAAAACACTGATGAGATAAATTAACACAGGACCTGAAGATTCAAAGACAATTTATAAGCTCATTCCTACTTGATTTCTCATCATTTGTGTCAGCAGAGTAGAGATGAGAAATTCATTCCAATTGAATGCTTATTATCTAGGTGTTCCTAGATAGGTGGGAGGTGTTCCATTATGGCCTAGTAAGTATACTCTGGGAATAATAATAGGAGGTTATGATCAAATGAAATAGCAAAATGATGCCAAATCCTTAGTTCTCGATTAAGCCTGAACTTCCCACATCTCTGATTATTCTCCTTCTCACTTCTGATCCCTCAGTCAGGTTGTGTAAAAAAAAAAAGTAAAGACATTAAGAAAAGAGAGAAAAAGAGAAAGAGAGAGAAAGAAAGAACAAAAGAACGAAAGAATGAAAGAAAGAGGAGGAAAGGGAGGGGGAGGAAGAGAAGGGAAAAGGAGGGGAGTGGAGGGAAGAGTTGAGGAAAGAAATGAAAAGAAAGAAAGGAATACCAGATCGTCTTCTACTGAGATTGCTAGAAGAGGCAAACTTATCTGGTACGTACGAGTATCAAATGTGGAGAAGCTATCACCTGGACTCAGTGTTTTAGATTCTTGAAATGTAATCTTCCCAGGAACATCAATGTCAAACAGATGGATCTGCATCACAAATAACTGATTTGGTTACCTCTTTTCCAGCAGGATTCAGGACAGTAGTTACAGTTATTTTTCCATGGGGAGATACCTGAGGTGCTCTAAGATCAACTATACAAACGGCACCCACAACCTGCCCATAATCCATCCCACAACCTGGCTGACATATTATCAAAATGAATTCTATCACAGGAAACTGGAACAATGATGCTGTAGTTTTTACAACTCCTACATCCATGTGGTATGCAAATCAATGTCCAGGTTTCTCATGGGGGGTAATTAATGTGTAGCTTTTTAGTCAATATAAATGCTAACTCTCATAAACTGATAAACTGGAAGGAGAGGGTAACTATTTAAAAACAGGTAAAAATTTTGTGAGCCAAATTCAGCAATATATAAAAAGAATAATGCATCACTTCAAAATTGGATTTATTCAAGGAAAACAAATGTGGTTCAACGTTAGAACATCAATCTTTGTAATTTACCACAATAACAAAATAAAGAAGAGAAATCATATGATCATCTCAACAGATGCATAATGAGCATTTGGTAAACTTCTACAGCCATTCATGATTCAAAAGCAAAACAAAAAGACTCTTCTAGGAAGGGAACTTTTTAATCTGATAAAGAATTCTGTAAAAACCCTAAACAAACATCATACTTAATGGTGAAATACTGAAAACCTTCCCTCTGAGATTGGGAACAAGACAAGGTTACCTGCTACTCAACATTGTACCAGAGATCCTAAACAAAGAGCAAGGAAAAGAAAGGAGTAAAAAAGTATGATTACAAAGAAAAAAATGGAATCCATCACTATTCTCAGATGATATAACTGTGTACCTAGGAACTAAAAGAAACTACGGATAAATTGTCAGAATTAATGAGTTTAGCAAGGTTGCTATATACAAGGTCAATATTTTAAAAACTTATTGTACTTCTATATATAAGCAAGAAATGGAAAATGAAAGAGCATCAAAAAACACAGGAATAAATCTGAAAAACGATGCATAAGGCTATATCCAAAAAACTATAAAAATAAATTGAGAGAAATTAAAGAAAGCCTAATAAATGTCAGGATATATACTATATTCATGGACTGGAGAACTCAATACTGAAAAGATACACTTCAAAGAGTTGGGTTCATAGTCTAATGCTGGCTGTTCTTCCTGCACCGACAGAATAGCTCCTATCAGACCAGCTCTCTTAACTATGAACACTGGACAAAATAAAAGGCAAGGCACAAGTACGTAAAGCACTGAGGAATGACCAAAAGCAGGCAATACTTGAAGGGAAGGCAACACATGGAAGACGGGAATAGCACTGGGTGAGCTTCCTATTTGTTTACAGATATTAAGTAAGGACCTAGTAGCTGTTACGAGTGGTTATGAAAACTATCCATAATTATACTGGCTTAAAGAAGCACAGGATTGAGTGGTAGCAGCTGGAAAGTGAGCGAGGAAATCCTAAAAAGCAGAAAGCCAAAGAGGGAGAGCCCTAAATTCTACATATAAAATCTTTCCAAATCTCTGGCTGACCAATTAATTAAATATGAATGGAGTAGCTTACAAGCAGCCTAGCTAAGGCTAAAAACTTCAGACAGAACAGAGAAGCTAAAGTTGCTGCCCACCTTGCAAAGGAGATAAGAGTTTGGTGTTTGAGGCCAGGCGCAGTGGCTCACACCTGTAATCCTAACATTCTGGGAGGCCGAGATGAGGAATTTCTTGAACTCAGGCATTTGAGACCAGCCTGAGCAAGGGTTAGACCCCATCTCTACTGAAAACAGAAAAAATGAGCTGGGCGTGCTGGCACACACCTGCAGTCCCAGCCACTCGGGAGGCTGAGGCAGGAGGATCGCTTGAGCCCAGGAGTTTGAGGTTGCTGTGAGCTAGGATGATGCCATGGCACTCTAGCCCAGGTAACAGAGCAAGAGACTGTCTCAAAAAAAATTTTTTATAAAAGAAAAAATTATTGTTTTACAGGATTTATAAAATCTGTACATGGGCTACAAATGACAACTAAAGCATAAAAGAATAGGGGCAGGAAGGTAGGAAATGGACCTATACCACTGCAAGGCTCTTCGATTTCACATGAAGTGATACAATATTAACACTAAGTAGACTGTGACAAGTTAAAGATACATAATATACTTCCCAAGGCAACTGGGGAAAAAAAAGCAAAGAGGTAAAACTAGTAATAAAAAGACAACAGATAAATTAAAATGGAATTCTAAAAAATATTCAATTAATCCAAAAGAATGCAGAAAAAAGGAACAAAGAAAAAAAATGGACTAACCACTCCAGTTAAAAGGCGGATTGTCAGAATGAATAAAAAAGTAAGACCTAACTATATGCTGTCTATAAGAGAACCACTTAAAATATAAAAACATATATAGGTTGAAAGTAGATTAGAAAACCACATACCAGGCAGAGTACACGTAAGAAGGCTGGAGTGAGGCCGGGCGCGGTGGCTCACGCCTGTAATCCTAGCACTCTGGGAGGCCGAGGCGGGTGGCTCGCTCAAGGTCAGGAGTTCGAGACCAGCCTGAGCAAGAGCGAGACCCCGTCTCTACTAAAAATAGAAAGAAATTATTTGGAAAACTAAAAATCTATATAGAAAAAATTAGCCGGGCATGGTGGCACATGTCTATAGTCCCAGCTACTCGGGTGGCTGAGGCAGTAGGATTGCTTGAGCCCAGGAGTTTGAGGTTGCTGTGAGCTAGGCTGATGCCATGGCACTCTAGTCCGGGCAACAGAGTGAGACTCTGTCTCAAAAAAAAAAAAAAAAAAAAAAAAAGAAGGCTGGAGTGGCTATAGTGACAGCAGAGATAAAACAGACTTCAAGATAAGGGGTGTTACAAGAAAAATAAAAAGTAATGATAAAAGGATCAATTCATCAGGAAGACGTAACAATACTAAATGTATGTGCATTTAATACTGCAAAGATGTCAACTCTTCCTAAATTGGTCTTTATATATTCAATGAAATCCTAATAAAGATTCCTATAGGTTGTTCCTTTGCAGAAATTGACAGGTTAAGTCTAAAATGGATAGAAATATGGAAATGACCAAGAATAGCCACCTTTGCCAAGCAGTCAAAAGCCTGACACATATACAATATAATGAGAGGGACTAGGGGACTTCATAGCAAAGATGCCACATTCCCCACATACCTTTCTGTACTTTACTAGTAAAGTTCCATCAGGCCCAAACACAGCACAGGTGTTATAAAATTTCCCAGCATCCTCTTCAGGGATGGAACCTTTTATTGAGAGAAGAAATATACAGGCATACAAAACAATAAGAAAAAGGATCTTAAAAAGAATAGAGCAATTCTTTTGTGATAACAGTCAAGGCCTGATAAATTTGTCACTTGGGTCCAACAATAAAGTTTACTATCCTCTAAGGGTTATGTAACCATGTTTTTTTTTTTTCTTGACTATGATCTTCCAGAGATAAACTCTAGAGTGTAGATGAAATATAATTAGGTCAGATGCCAAAGACAGGTTTAAAAAATAACCAAAATGTTCCTGAAATTCAGCCATGATCTTGAGTAACACTTAATCTGTAGCATTAGAGCAAAACGAAGAATTTCCTATTGCTCAACTTAAATTCACCAGGTCCTGCAACACAACAGTAGCCCAAAAGGCTTCAAGGTAAGAAGGTGAAGTCACAAGTCTCTCGGTCTCTGCATGCAGTTCCACTGCTATGCTTCTTGCTTTGCCTTAGCTTCCCCACCTCTTCATTTCTAATCCTTAACATATCATAACATAGAAATTATTTTATTTGCTGTGTTTATTGAACTGAGTTTTGCTGTGCTTATTTTTTATTTAAGCAAATAGAACATTTTAAAATTTATCCCCAAACCATACAAATAAAGCTACCTTTATGAATGTGGCCTCTATGAAAACAAGTTTTCTCAATCCTGTATTAGTACAATAAAAGACACACAGTTATGATTTCTCCTTCCACATTTCTACCTGCTCCTGTACTCCCACTCCGTCTCCAGAGAAAATGCTCATTGTCAGTTTGTTGCATGTCCTTCTCCAATATTTACTATGCCTTTACCTACATAACTACATATAAAAATATAGTCTTCTCGTGTGGGGCTTTGAACTGAACGAGAATACTCTGTTCATATCATGTTGAATTTGGTTTGTTTCCACTAAATAGTTATGTCTTGAAAATCCTTCCACATTACTACATATAGATCTACCTCATTCTTTTCAATGGCTGAATTGTGTTCCACACTTTCAATGTAACAACATAAATCATTCAGTTGTTTTTTGTTTGTTTTTGGAGACAGGGTCTCACCGTGTTTCCTCGGCTGGGATCAAACTCCTAGGCCCAAGCTATCCTCCCACTTCAGTCTCCTGAGTAGCTAGAACTACAGGTGTGCGCCACTATGCCCAGCTCACTCAGCTGTTTTTAATGTTCAGGCCATTATTCCCTGTAGGTAGGAAGTTACCTCCAATGAGATAAATGCTGCATTCCTTTGCTACTTCAGAAAGCTTCTGTGTGGATTCACCAGGAATTTTCTCTGCATATTGAGGAAAATACTTCGTGCCATATGGAGAATTAAAGCATTCCTAGAATAATGTTGGCAGAGAAAAGGGAAAAAAAACACCAAAACACTCAACTCATTTTAAAGTTCTGCTCTAAGAGGACAAAGCTGCTGCGTCTAGCTCTGCTCTCACTTAAAGGAGTAAAACACAGACAGCTAATAAGAAAAACACTGACAGCACAGGGCTGAAGAGCCTGTGGTCACAGGCAAGACTAGGCAGCTAGCACAGGAGGGGACAGAAAACACAAATCATATGAGTTTTACCAGGTCCTGGTCATCCTGGCAGAAGCTAGATTGCTTCTGTCTTGAGTCTGTAGGAGAACAAGTTCCCAACCTTGCGCAACCAGGCCCCACTACAAATCAGGCTCACTCACATGACTTTGGATGTTAGGATGAATGCAAAAGCTCAAAATTATATTACTATGTAAAGCAATAAAACCCGTGTATGAAAAAAATAGAAAAGCTTTGAAAGTCACAGAGGTTAAGAGGTTTCCTCATCAGTAAAATGAGCTGTTTCTAAGTTCCCTTCCAGCACTATCTTGCTGATCCTACGACGTCTCTCATCCCTCACCCATGTAGGGTACTGTGTGTCTTTAACAGCTCTGTGACATGTCAGAAAACAAAGGCAAAAAAGAATACACTTCAACTCTAATTCATTCGTTCTGCATTTAATGAGCTCATCTAGGTACCAGGCACTGTGCTAGGAACCTCAAGCCCAAAGATTGCCAGCTTATACAAGATGCATGTTAGTCAGTGAAGTGGGCATGTGCAGAATTCAAGTGCTTTCACTCCTGGAGTTTGTACTCTTACCCTCTGGAACATTAACCAACAAGAGACCATGATTAGGTAACAAGTACAAGTGAGTCCCATGACTGGCACCACAAGGAAGACTGGATTAACATTAAGATCTCGAGCTCCCTTGTTAAAGATTCCTGTTCACTGGCCACTTTGTGACGGGCTGGAGCCTGAGTAAAACACAGTGTGACCCTGCAAATTCTCCAGCCAATTTAGCCAGGGTTTGTAAAAGGCTGCCGCCTCGTAGCTGGGTAGGGGACAGGTGCTATCGAGAACTGATCCACCCAGTGATCCCCACAAAGCCTTTAGAGAAGATGCCAGGAGATGTATGTCCTGACATCTGGGGACCCCTCTCTGGGGCTAATGCTGTACTCGCTGACAAACAAATATAGTATTACTTTCAACTGGTTCTGCTGTTAAAGAAACCACCTACCGAAGAGATGCAGAGTCATACTGGCTTTAAGATGCCACAGGCCACTAGACAGTTAATCTATTTAACTAAAAATCACTTGTACCCTTAAATCTATCAAAATAAAAAATAATAATAAAATAAAATTTTAGAAAAGACATCACAGGTTTCCAAAACGTCTCTAAACAGTTTTCAGTCATTTAAAAAAAAATTTGGAGGCTTAGTGCTAAAACCAACATATTCTAGTCCTACAAAAACTTAATTATACAGGAAACAAAGTATGTATCCAGGCACTGAGTATTTTAACTTTAGGCAAGTGCCTCAACATACCAGGATTTTGATTTGCTCATCTGAACAGAGTAGATGATCCTAAAGTTAAAGACCTGTAACCCTGCTGCACATCCTATCTCACAAAGAGCCTTGCTAAGGTCACCTTCCAGTCAAACGTGGAACAAGCCTGGGGCTCCAAGGGACATTGCTGGACCCCCAGGATACGAGAGGACAACCAGAGCTAGCAACCACTATTCTGCTCGGTCTACAGTGTCTGGAACAGGATGGCTGCCTCCATACTGACCGGCAGAGAAACTATTTTGGCTCCTTGCGCTGCTGCCTCCCGGACAAGGCTACAAGCTCGAGTGACGTTATCTGATTTGATGGAAGAAACTTGAAGCTGGATGAGGGCCAAGCGGAAAGCTGAAAACACAGACAAAAAGAAAACAGTTGTCAGATGTGACTGCTAAATTCAGATAAAGCCATGGTTCTCCAATAGAGGGCAATTTTGTCCCCTGGGGGACATCTGCAATGTCTGGAGATATTTTTGATTGTCACAACTGATGGCACACCACTGACATCCAATGGATAGAGGCCGAGGATGCTGCTACACACCCTACAATGCACAGGACAGCTCCCCCGCAACAAAGAATTATTCTGCCCAAAATGTTAATAGTGCTGAAGTTGAGAAATCTTGAGACAGAGCAACATCCATGGGCAAAGCCGCGTATCACGCACAAGCATCTGAAGTGAATCAGCTTCCTACTATGTACTGTGGGGAATGAAATGAGAACATGGTTTGAAGTAAGAAGACTGGGTATGAATATGGTCCTAACCCTTACTATTTACTCTTGTGCCTCCTGCCTACCTCCAATCCAGATCCTGAGCATGTCCTAGCACAGAAAGTACAATCCCTTGGAGGTTGCTCACTCACTGCAAATTGGGGCAGTAGGCTCATGGGAAGGGAAGACGCTTGTCTCAACTCCCCTTCCACCAGATGAGACATAGCAGGCCTATGGGTCCCACCCGGTAGTCGCTGGGCTGCACATGTGCCTGATCACAGGGTAGGGGTCCCAAGAACCTATACTCATCCCATAAATATTCCTGTGCCCAAAAGAACACAACGTTCAATAGAAAATACACCACGAGAGGTTGACAGAGACACTGCAGAAAGAAAAGCTAACAGCACTTTTTTCCTGCTATCTGAACAAGGGGACTGGGCCTCACAAAGTATGTTGTGAGCCCTGCCAACAAGGTGTGTTTTCAGCCTTGGTGCAAGGAGAGCAGGGTCTCTTCCAAGCTTATTCCTTCCTTGAGATAGTAGTTATACACTTTCTTTGCTTTTCCTCGATTCTTTAGAGCTCTCTTTCAGCTCTTATTGTAATTACCTTTCAGTGGCTAATAATTCTTTTTGTTCAAGTTACTAGTGTAGTTTCCATGTATTGCCTGGACCCTGACTGATACATAGTTCCTGCTCACAGTCCGATGGGAGGCTGCAGTAAAGGATTCAAAGCACACAACCTATGGAGCTCTGCAAAACGTCAGGAATTAGTAATAGCCTGCCCTAACTCCCCTAGGCCACCTCTGGCCTTTGCCTTAGGGTTAGCACCACAAGTAGGAAATTCAGATGTCCCATTGCTTAGTCTATCCTAAACATAGGGAGAAGGGCTAAATTTAATCCTAAATGCAGTTTGTTAAACGGTTTCAAAATCTGGAGGAAAACAAAGGAAACTAAAACAGGAAAGGAAAGCTGGGATTACTATGGGGCACCAGTTACTTTGAGCTGTCACTAGAACAGCACACAAGCTCACTAAAGATCTCCCCTCTAACTCAGAAGCTGAGCTTTGTCTCTGCTTCTGAGGGAGAGAACGATGAAGCTCATGGCTATAATCATGGCTTCTTCTCTTCCCCCTCCCACCCACAAGTACAGGGGTCCTGCACCAGGCTGGGGACTGCCTGTCATTTTGCAAATCACCCACTCCGCTGAGGTGCTAAAGCAGAGGAATCCCACCATTGGGGAGTTCCTCGATGCTGAGGGTGAGGCACTAGTCACTTCATCTCCTCTGTAAAGTGAAGATACAATGACTTTTAAGGCTGCCCTAGTATTTATCATAATCTAACAATGAGGCCTTACTAAGGGAAAAAAATAAACTTTGGAGGGACCAACATGGGAATAGCATTTAAAGGAATGTGACAGGTCCTACACACATATAAACTTCTATGAGGTAGCATTAACACCATTTTATAGATGAGGAAACAGAAGACTTGCTGGGGGAAAGCTGCACAAAGTCTCTGAACAAAGTGAGTGACACGGCAACAATCCAAGTCAAATGCGCCCTGTAAAGTGAGATGGGGAGGGAGCGCCACCTGGCCACCTTTGTGTGGCGTGGCGCTGGGGGAGGTCACGGCACTTGCAAACACTCAAGGGACTCAGCCCCATACCACTTGCCATGGAGAACCGCCCGCCGTCCCGCGCGCCCGGCCGCGCCGCCCCCGTCCCGCGACGCCCGAGCCCCGCGCACGCCCGCGTCAGGGAAGCCCGCGAGCGCGGCAGGGACCCGGAGCCGGGGGTGAGCCGGCTGATGCTCCGGCAGTGCCGCCCCAACGCCTCCCCTCCGGCACCGGCTCCAGCCGCCGCGCCGGGCCGCGCCACTTACTGGCCATGGCTCTCCCGGGAAGCACCATTGGTAGAGCGAGAAGGAGGGACGGCGGCTGCGCCACGAGGGGCGGGGCCGCGGCGGCGCGGCGCTGCGAGGGGCGGGGCCAGGCGTCGAGACCGCGTCCCGCCCTCCTCCGCGAGGGGAGGTGTCTGCGTTCCTGTGTGGCCCAGGCACGTGTTAGCTGCCAGCTGTTTGCCCAGGATAGACCGACGAGAAACGGTTAATTAAATACACAGTCCGGAAGAAAAGAATGCCTCCATAGGTAATGGGGCAAAGAGGGAGGGACCTGAGTCGAGATAGTGTGCTGGTAAATATTTAACAACCGGACTCTACAGAGCGGAAATAGCCCTGATTTGCAGCGTTTGCCTAGTCTCAGTAAAAGGACTGAACTTCGAGCTGGTTGCGTTACCTCTGTGGCCAGCGTGGGCTGATTGGCCGAAGCCATTTGAACAAGTCTCTTTGAGGGGCACGGAATGACCTTGGTTGGTTTAGGCACGCAGGACGTCGGTAGGATCTGACTACAAAGCTGCTTCGTAAAGCGCAGGGGAAAAGAGATTCTGGGGGTTCAAACACAATGTCCTCAGCAACAAATCAGTCCTCAATACACTGCAATCTGTTTGCTAATATACTATTTTAGAATTTTTACATTTATATTTATTAGGTTGCTTTTTAATTTTTGTGTTTTTGTGCCGTGTCAGATTTGTGGATCAAAAATAATTAAATGAATTTTAAAACTTGCTATCTTTTTGAATGCTCCGGAATAGTTTAGATTATGTTGAAACGGGTCCTGGTTTTTAAAGGAATGCTATAGGCTGGGTGCGGTAGCACACGCCTGTAATCCCATCACTTTGGGAGGATCACTTGAGCCCAGGAGTTTGAGGTTACAGTGATCGTGCCACTGCACTCCAGCCTGGGAGACAGAGCGAGACTCTGTCTCTAAAATAAATAAACGAATGAATAAACGAATATTGGGACAATTAGGAACATTTACATATATACTGATATTTAATGCTTTTTTGAATTATTTTGTGTATGTGATATTAGACAATGTCTTTACTCTTAGGAAGTACATAAATAGGTGTTTAGGGTTGAAGTGTCAGAATGTCTAACACTTGAAAATGGTCAGCAAATAGGAAGTAAGTTCTTGGAAGGCTGAAGTGGGAGGATCACTTGAGCCCAGGAGTACAAGGCCAGCCTGGGCAACATAGCAAGACCCCCATCTCTAAAAAACAAAGAAAATGTTTATATAAGGATAAAGCAAGTATGGCAAAATATTAAATATAGGAAGACACATAGCTGTTAATTGTACTATTTTTAAAATTTGTAAGTTTGTTTTGTTTTTTGAGACAGGGTCATTCACTATTGCCCAGGCTGGAGTGCAGTGGTGCCATCATAGCTCACCATAACCTTGAACTCCTGGCTCAAGCAATCTTCCCGCCTCAGCCTCCTGAGTAGCTAGGATTACAGGCCATGCACCACTGCCCAGCTAATTTTTTAAATGTTTTGTAGAGACAGGAGTCTCACTATGTTGCCCATGTTGGTCTCAAACTCCTGGACTCAAGCCATCCTCCCACCTCTGCCTCCCAAAGTGCTGGGATTACATGTGTGAGCCTATAAAAGTTTTAAACTGTAAAAGTTTTAAGTTTTCATTACTCTAGGGTAAATGCACAGGAGAGGGAATGTTGGGTTGTATGGTAAATGTATGTTTATTTATAAGAAACTGCCAAACTGTTGTTTAGAGTGGTTGTACCATTTTATATTCCCACCAGCAATATATTAGTGCTCTTTTCCCTCCATACCTTCAGCAGCACTTGGTACTGTCAACTTGTTTGTTGAATTTTAGCCACTCTAATAGGTGCATAGTAGTATCTCATTGTGGTTTTGATTTGTATTTCCCTTACAGCTAATGATGTTGAGCATCTTTTTATGTGCCTATTTATAATCCATACATCTTATTTTGTAGAAATGCTTCAAGTCTTGCCCATTTTTAAATTGTTTATTGTTGTATTGAAGGTCTTTGTGTATTCTGAACATAAATCCTTTGTTTGATATGTGTTTTGCAAGTACAGTATTTTTTCCCAGTATGTAGCTTGTCTTTTCATTCCATTAACAGTGTCTTTTGGGAAAATTTTTAATTTTGATAGTGAAACTTATTTTTAAAAATCTTTTATGGATTATGTTTTAGCATTGTATCTAAGAACAATGGCCTAACCCAAGATCATAAAAATTTTGTTTTCTTCTATTAGTTTTATAGGTTTATATTTTACATTTAGCTATGTGATCCATTTTAATTTTTGTATGAGTTATAGGTTAAGGTTCATTTCTTCATTCATACAGCTATCCAATTGTTCCAACACTGTATGTTGAAAACCCTATCCTTTCTCAATTGAATTGCCTTTGAAACTTTGCCAAAAACCAATTGCCATTATTTGTGTGGGTCTATTTTTGAACTCCATATTTTGTGCACTTATTTATGTCTGTCCTTTTGCCAATATCTGTCTTGATTATTGTAGCTTTATGTAAGTCACAAATTGGGTAGCATAAGTCCTCTGATTTTGTTCTAACTTTTCAAAATTGTTTTGGATATTTTATTTCCTTTACTTTTCCATGTAAATTTTTGGGCTGGGTGTGGTGGCTTATGCCCATAATCCAAGCACTTTGGGAGGCTGAGGGAGGAGGATTGCTTGAGGCCAGGAGTTTGAGACCAATCTGGGCAACATAGTGAGACCCGTCTCTATGCAAAATTTAAAAATTAGCCAGGTGTGGTGATGTGCACCTGTAGTTCCAGCTATTCAGGAGGCTGAGGTAAGAGGCTTGCTTGAGTCCAGCAATTTAAGACTGAATTGAGCTATGACCGTTCCACTGCACTCCAGCCTGGGTGACAGAGACCCTATTTCTCTTTAACACACTGACTGCCACACAAAAAGACCCAGAAACTTTTCCTTGAGGCCACAGTGTTTTATTACAAAAATAGAATAAAAATTTCAAGTGTAATTGAAACATAAATAGAAAAATGAAATGTATTGACTTCTATTCATTTAATCCATGTTTTTAGAATTGTCAATATTAATTGTAACAATAAGAACATCAACAAGATTTTATATATGCTTCATGTGGTCCCAGGGTCAAAACTAGAGTGAGTTAAATACAACTCTCATAGCAGTTGATGTGTTAAAAATATTTAGAATAAGCTTATATATTAGCAAAAACTCCTCCTGAGATTGTTATTGGAATTAAATTATATCTGTAGTTTAATTGGAAAGAGCTTAATTATGTTATCTTCCATTCCATAAACACAATACAGTTTCCATTCATTTAGGTCTTTGATTTCTTCCACAAGCATTTTGTAGTTTTCGGCACACAGATCCTGCATATTTTGTTCGATTTCTACAGAGCTATTTCATGTTTTGGGTACTGTAAACGGTATTTTTTTAAAAAGCTTTTGGTTTCCAATTGTTCATTGCTAGTATATGGACATATGAATGATTTTTAAAAGTATGTTGAACTTGTATCTTTGGATCTTATTAAACTCAGACAGTAATGTCATCTGTGAATAGCAACAATGTCTTCCTTTCCAATATGAGAATTTTCTGTAGATGCCCTCTATCAGGTTAATTGAGTTCCCTTCTACTCCTAGTTTATAAAATGT